TGTAAGGTTACTATCGCCCGGCACGTTGGTCATGATGTATTCATATTGATCGATCAGTTCTTCTAATTGGACTCTCCATTCCTCAATCAGCTGCTCACCTAAGACCACGTTTGCCGCTGTTTCCTTCGGTACTGTGGGACCAAGTTCCAGTAGTTCCTCGTATCAATTATGGAAGCTGCAGTTAGGTGAAGAACGGGGCCGCCAACACTGTCCCCTTTGTTGTCACCGTCATCACATCCACCCAATTCGTGCAATTTATTTTTAATAATGCCAATTTCGGAAAAATTTGCTTCAGAACTGCTGAAACAGCACTGGGAATATGTGGGGGTTTTTTCTGAAGATCCAAATGCCATGGGGGAAATGTTACTGTCAGTCATGTCTGTCGTCTTTTCATCTTGTGCTTGGGCTTTCCGGCAATAAAGCCACTGGCATTGACAAGATTTCTTGTAAAATTATTTAAAGTCATTTCAGATTCACTGACACTTATTTTTAATCAGGCTGTTACTCTATCTTCATTTCCTGATGAATGGAAAATGGCTAATGTAGTACCTCTGTATAACTCAGAGATCCCAAGGATAGTGCAAAGTTGATATGACAAATGATAATTAAGATTTTAATATGTTGATTCGCATAATGATTAATGTATGAACTGATAGGATTGATGCATCTATAAGGAAGTTGTTTGGCATTTGTTTATATATTACAAGCCACAACAGTAAATTTTGTTGTTTTCGCATGGATGATTTTCCACGGCTTAATCCCTTGAATGGTGGCTTTAGTCCAGATCTTTTTTCTTTGCTTGTAATTCAATTTTCTACCCATTTTTCGTTCTATATTTAATACAAAACAAAATAAACCGCCTTCGAAAATCGAAATGAAACAAAAATGAACAGCTTGCAAGAAATTGTTGTCACCTGACAGGACGAGTTCAAGTCGACTGTGTGCTGGCCACGTGCCCCAGAAGTTGCTGTCTAATGACTTTACAGTAATATGCAAACAGAATCATGGCCGACATCTAAATATTTCTCACTTTGCGGTGCCTGTGCCATTTTTGGCACCGCATTATATTCTGCCTGTGACTTTGTTTGTGAGTTTGTCTACTTGCTAAGCTTTATCTCTGGTTTTATGCGTCAAACAAGGACAAAAATACTACTGTTCGAATCAGCGTAAGAAATTATATTCACAGATGTCAAATGTATTACTAAACAACAGTATTCTAGCGATTTATTGCCTTTGAAAGACAAGCGAAATTGTATTGTTCACAAATCGCTCAAAATTATTGAACTAATTAAAAATGCAGTCCGTTTGATCCTTGATAACTTCGGAATTGTTGGTTTTCTCGTTTTTGGCCGTATGCCAGCGGATTCGTCTCACTTTTCTCCTCATTTTGATAGTATTTTGAGCTCAAATATTTTATTTTGAAGGCTTTAAAACGCAGTTTTGATCCTAATATACAGACCAACTGGCGGCCGACAGGAAAATGTGTAGCGTGCTAAATATAACTTTACTTGTGCATGTAGGCGGCGGAAACGCCGAAAGTTTTATTTGTAAGCGGGCACCACATTTTACTTTAGTATTGTGTCTGGTTAAATATAATATTTTACAGTTTATCAATGAAATATAAATACCAATAGCTCAGTTGAAAAAAGCTTGGAATGACTGTTTATATATAACGTCTCGGAAACAATACGAACTGACATTAATACTGACTATAGATTATACTGAGTACAGAAATTTCTGCTATTAAAAAATAATATACTTCACTACAAACATTAGATCATTAATACAGACATTTATAGTTCACTGGGACATTGGCTCTCGCCGGCGTCGCCGCTACAATATAAATACGCTCGACCTCGGCATGTTGCCTCTGGAGCAAAATTTCAATTTTATTATATGATTTACTATTTATTGAATATTGGGCCATGTAAACCTAGCTCTATCGCGATATAATAATACAAGAATAAGCTAACTGATATAGACTGCGAGCGGTCCCTCTTTCCGCGGGTTATATCGTGATATAATAATACAAGAATAAGCTAGCTGATAGAAATCAGCTGCTGACTTATAATTTTATATCAAAACTATCCATTGGCACTTATTCATGCATACATCGCTCCGTATCTTTCGTAGATATTAAACCACTGTGCTATAATACTATCAACCTCAGATGTAATACACTCTATAGTCTACACGATTTCACACCGCCGCTCAATAGTCACCGCTCGTCCATGTCCGCCATTGTAAAATAATAACATATGAAAGCACGTGTATTATGCACGTGTATTTATGTTACAGGGGGCATATCATATACTGAACAAGTGCTTGAAATGCAACAGTAATTTGGTTATAGCCTAACTGTTATAACTTCTCTAAATGTCAGATAAATAAGTAAGAACATGTACCATCATGAATATAAATATAGATTGTTATAATCTACAAACAGCTATGAACGATTAGTTGGCCGAACAATGCGAACATCGCGAAGCTCTTAGTAGAAAACGTAATAAAAATAATTTGCAAGCTCCCCCCGGATTGTTTACTCTATAGATCGGTCACTGAATTGAATTTAACCTCATAACAATAGTGCAAAGCAACTTTGCACTAATAAAGCACAGTGAAAATTCCTTGGCCCCTCTTGGGATTCAGTTCTCGGCCTCCTCTGACTGAAAATCCCGGCTACGTCTCTGACGATAGCTACTGATACAACTCTTATTCCCCTGGGCCGAAAAAAAAATTCTTGCACAGACTGAATCTTTCAACCCCCCCCCCAAAAAAAAAATCAAATGGTCCGCCCCAGAGGGTCCGTCCCTAATATAACTTTTGTAAACAAAGCAAATTTTGTAAAACTTTATAATAATAATTTCTTTATAATTTAATTTTTGCACTGTATGTGGTTCTTGTAACCGAACAGATATTAGAGAGGTTCGGATTTGACTTCCATTACTGCTACCGCTACCATTGAGGGACCATTAACCAATCAGATGCGTTTCATATATCCGACTAAGTCAGTGGTAGCGGTAGTGGAAGTAAAATCTGAACCTCTTTATTGTTAGGGAGAATCTAGAGGACACTCTAAGGATTTGTCACGTCAGTGCAATGGTCTAATGCCTTTCATCTTGAATAACGAGAGCGAAGCCCCCTTGCCAAGGAAATATTCAGGACGTAATTATTAAGCAAGTGTATTCATCACTATCCCGTACAACCAGGCCCAGGAAAACAGTCTACGGAGAGACTACAGTATCACGGCCTTGTTCTAGTTACAGTATCACGGCTTTCTTCTAGTCTCCTCTGCAGGCATCTCGTGGTTCACCTGGGTTGCTCGGATTTTTGCCCGCAACCAATTATGCCCGCCAATCTAAAGGCGATACCTGCGGAGGACGCTAGCTTTGTTGTAGTTTTATACAATCTGTACTCTACCTCCACAAATATTTCCATCTATATCACGATCACAAAGCAGGTCACTACACTCACAAAATTCACCATAAATACGGCTTGAACCACCAAACTTTAACAAAACAACAATTACAGTAAGTTCTTTGTATGTTTACATGGGAAATAACACGTATGTTTATTATTGCAAAGCTTTCGATCCTTTATCAGTGCCAAAGGCTCTTGGATGCTTCCTATCGGATGCTTCGCATCGCTTGTTTTCTTGTCAAAACATTCAGGATGCGACTACACTCCTACGCCTATACTAGTAAAATGTCAAACTATTATTACTACTTAATGTCAGTTCAATTTACCGCAGATCACTCAGATGTCGCCATTTTCATACTGTCGATTTCAATGTTGGAAAGTAGTCGCATTCCTGAATGTTTTGAGAAAAAACATGACGTGTTTTTTCGCGCGAGAACACAGAGATAATAAGAGTTTTGGAGATAATGTAGGCTCGTTACTGTACGTTTCGTGCAAGGACTGGGAAACGAATAATTAATTTTGGTTACAAGTGCTTTTACAGATGTACATATTAATGACAAACCTTCTCTCCACACATACATTTCCCACATGCACATTCGCCTCTTCCGCTGCATATATTTGATGAATTCCTAGAAATATATCAGTGTACATATACTTGATGAATCCTAGAAATACATAATTATACATATACTCGATGAATCTCTAGAAACCAAAACGTATAATTATATTTACTGTACGAGCATACGTTTTGATTTCTAGAAATTAATTTCTCGGACACTGCCCGACTATTTATACTACAGACTAACGGATAATCCATAAACGCATGACGAACGAAAAAATATATAAATATTTGAAAAACATTCCTCTTCCAGCCCCTGATACTTACACACATAGACGGATGATTGGTGAAGACGAACTACGCACAAAAGTTCGCCCTGTTTGATAAATAAGCGGTTCGTCTTGACCGATAATCCGTCTGTTTGAGAATTTTTTTGCCAATGTTCTTCCAAAGTGACCATCTGTCTCTAGTTACTCATCTCTCTAGCCATAGTTAATAGAATTAGGTGGTTTGGAAACTCATTAGAATAACAATATAACTCATTAACAACAGGCTTGTTACAAGTTGTTCCAACAACTTGATGCTGGCTTGATAATATCAACTTGCAACAAGTCTGTTTTAACAACTTGCAACAACATTGTTGATTCAACAAGCTTGTCGCAAATTGTTCTAACAGACTTGTCAAGACTTGTTATCCACAGGCTTGCTGCAAGTTGTTTCAACAAGTTGCAACAAATCTGCAAATGACAGGTTGCAACAAGCCTGATTTTAACAAGCTTGTTGCAACTTGGTGAAATTAACAAGCTTGTTGCAACTTGTTGGCAAGTTGCAACAAGCCGGTAAAGTTGACAACTTGCAACAAGTCTGTGGCGTTTCTGGCTGTTTAACCAATAGCAGGTTTTAGGAAATTTCCCGTTGCGTGACTCGAAATTGGAAATTGCTATTGGTAGATTTGGCAAAAATACAATACACACGTGACGGTGAAGGACCTGATTTATGAATAAACATTGACTAACATCGATAATGAGTTATATTGTTATTCTAATGAGTTTCCTAACCATCTATTCTATCAACTATGCTCTAGCATATAAATGGGAAGTATGTGTCTTTTGCCCTGTGTGAGAAGTAACTACATATCGAGAAAATACGCGAGTGTTAAGCCGGTTTCCCACTAGCGAGCGACCTTTTTCCTTTGTCGTTATCACATATTACGTCAGCAAGACGTGGAAAAATGGATGCCGACCAGGGCGCTTATATATTAGATATATAAGCACACTGATGCTGACAAAGGAAAAAGGTCGCCACGCGCGAAAAAAATCGCTAGTGGAAAATCGGCTTTATCTATCCAAGCAATAAAATGGCCGAATTCTAATGTAGATGTATAGTGTTATACATGCATGTACAGTAAGGCATGGTACTTACGACGCTTTACATTTTTCACTCTCTTCATCCTTCCTAAATACAGGACAATCACACTTTTCACCAAGGCTAAAATTAAAAATACACATGAGTGAGCTTTCATAGAGATAAATAAAATTCTTCGATACTTTACGCCTGTGGATAATTTTGATGTTTTGCCACATAATTTTGTTTTCGCGCTCGTGTTTTCATACATTGTTTTCGAGTGTTTGGATATCCCGGTGAGACACGAGCTCGAGTTGTTTATATGCTTCTCAAATGAATCGAGACGTAACAGAATGTTTTCGTTTGCTGATTTGAATAGAATTCTTAACCAAGCATAACGTAATTAGGAATTCTATTCAAGTAATTTTGCATGCGTAATTAAGATATTTGATGAAAACACTAGCGACTTTCATCAAGTTTCACCGGGTCGTCCAAATGGCATCTTGTGATCAAATAGGTGATTATCATATTTGTGGTGTTACTCTGAGTCTATATCCACACCGGGCGAGCTTGAAAAATATGCCCGGCCACGGTGGGATTCGAACCTACGACCTTTGGAATTCGCTAGTGATATAGGAAATATCACTTACTCGAACCGTCCTGACCGCGTAGCTCAGTTGGAAGAGCATTGGGCTAGTATTCCAAAGGCCGTAGGTTCGAATCCCACCGTGGCCGGGCATATTTTTCAAGCTCGCCCGGTGTGGATATAGACTCAGAGTAACACCACAAATATCATATTCACCTAGGTGATTATCATTGGCTGAATTGCTCATGAATTATTAATGAATTTGAGAAGCAACTATGAATGCATGAAAACTCTTGCGACTGCGTGAAATTCATTGCCATGCGCAGAAACCTAGTGTTGTTAGGTTGAGACTATTCTACACGAGACAGTTTTAACGTACAACCCTTGTTCTGTGGACATTATTCTACCATACTGTAACATGACTCAATGTCAGAAATTGTTTTAGGTACAACCCTTGTTCTGTGGACATTATTCTACCATACTGTAACATGACTCAATGTCAGAAATTGTTTTGCCAGTTGCAGTACAAATATTGCCAAATTGTGCCTCACATTGGTCTGCCTTGCCCTTGGAAAAAAGTACACAACTTTACATGAGCTGTATATACTAAGAAGTGCTGCTACTTACTGTCCAGGATTGCAGGTGCAATCACCACAAGTAAAGCTACCTTGTTGACTGCATTCTGTCGAGTTGTGAACCTAAAAACATTACACAATGCATAACCATACAAACTATATTTTATAATTTGTAACTCTATATAGTAAATAAACTTACGGTTTTATTTGAGCAATCACAATCACAAAGATATGTCACTTTAACAGGAACTTTATCACCAAGAGCTGTGGTTATACTAAATCTAAACGTTCAGAAAAGGTAAAACACGTTTGCATTTACAGTTTTGATAATACATCACAATAAAAAACACCAACAAATTCAGCACGGTGTTTTATGTACTATTTAAAACATGAGCAGCAGTGTTTTATCAGATTTAAATACCATATAAAACACGCACTGCGAATGTTTTAAATTGCTTCAAAAACGATCGATCTAGTAAGTTTATTGGCGAAGTAATTTTCAAAAAATACGTTGTGTAAGTCGAGAAAATTAAAGTTACTGTAAGGTTTATATAAATCAAGAGAAATCTCTATCACATATAAAGATACGACACGCTTATGATTTTTCTTTGTGTTTTCCTCATGAATAGGCAATTCCAGTTTTTAATTTATGCGCTCATGGGGGATGGTTTACCGAAACCACGAAACAATCGATCGCCATACTGTCGGCCTCACTTCGGCTCACGATAATATTTCACGACAATCCAATCTCGTACCCAGAGCAATGCCTGTGCGCGGGCTAGGATGGCATTGGCTCTGGGGAAATTGAAACCGGAACCCCTAAATTCTGGGGTTCCGGTTCTTTGTCGGCATGCATGATTGATAGACGTTAAACCAATCACAGCACAGGAAAAATTCAATTTCCCCAGAGCCAATGCCATCCTAGCCCGCGCACAGGCATTGCTCTGGGTACGAGATTGACGACAATCCGGACAGACATCGCTGACCGACCACCACCGCTCATCCCGTATCATAGTGGCTTGCCCCAGGGCCAGCCGTGAACAAAAATCTTCTACATCTACATGCATGAAAGCTTAGCGTTCAGTCAATCAGTCATATACACTTACTGTGTGTATCCCTTGCCTCCAGCTGGACAATTCTCTAATGTCACGGAAACGGTGAAATTTACCTATAAACATAAATCAAAACTTATATCCAAATACTGGAAACCCCCGACATAAGCCCCTGTGTGTAAAAAGCCCATCATAATTTTATGATGGGCTTTTTTTTCCTTAGGAGCAAACATGAGCCAGGGAATTAAATTCGGGGGTTTAACATTTCATTATCTGATTGTGTATTAGAAATGTTAACTTACAATATATATTATTACTAACAAAATGTTGTCCATCTACTGCATCCCCTGACAGTCACAGTTTCTATATTTCCGTCTTTACATTACACCAATGTTTTCGCTACTCTTCAAGAAGCAAACAAAATAACGAAAATAATTTAACGTACCGTCTCTCCAATAGTGACGTTTTCACACGTTTGACCTGGAAAACTACCACCCCTAGAAATGTTGAACAGAATTACTAAAAGTGACTGAGATTAACAATAATATATGCAGCATACTGTATGAACTGTACGTAAACAAAGGACGCGAGTCAAAGAAATCGCGGTATAATTTATGTTTGTCATACGAAGAAACTGTTCGTTAGA